AAAAAAAAAAAAAAAAAAACAGCCGAAAAATGACTCGAACGTTTTATCTTCCTCTTTTATAATTATCTACTTTCTTCGCGAACGACTTTCCAGATCGTTTTCTGAAGGGAAGTTAGTTTGCGAAGGAAAGTTTTATGAGTTTAATATATCTAAGTGGATATTGCTTGGTGGAGAAAGAGGGAAAACGAAGGAACAGGTTTGATCACCGTGGAAGAAGCCCTGTTGCTTCCGGATGGAAAGTTATTTTTCTCGACTCACAAACTCTTCGCCGAACGTCAATCGCGGTATCTTCTCGACGATCATTCGGCGAAGTCACGAATAATTGGCTGGCTTCGTCGATTTCAGCTGCTCATCGAGTTTCCACGTCTGCCCTGAACTTTGTTCCTCGCGAGCGAGGTAACTGGTATCCGCTAAATATTTGGCTCGTCGTTGACCCCGAGGCGTTCTGCTTTACACGCCAAGAAACTTGGATCTGGCAGCCCTTGATATCGACGAAGGAGAAGTCATTAATACCTGACTTTGATATTTTTCGGCAAATATCCAAGTTCATCTCGAGATTACACGACAGGAGAGAGAGAGAGAGAGAGAGAGAGACGAGAGTGGGAATAAGCTCGCAATTAGAGAGCTGCTACTTTCATAAGCATAAGCCATTCCGTGACACGAACGTGTGTTGAAAATAGCTGACCGAATTTTGAAACTCGGTTCTCCTGATTACGCGACTCGTCCTTAATCCAGGGGATTGGTGTCATTATAAATTAATTAGTTATCGATTAAAAGATAATCCAACAATTTGAGAACGCAGTTGGAAAGTAAGTTTGTAACATTTCTAGTTTGGAGTAGAAGTTTCGAATGTTTTCTATGGGACGGGGTTGACGACTACGACACGGTAGAACATTAACGTGTAACTACTTGTAAGTTACGTTGAAAGTTCGTTGGTTCGCCCAATGTCGAAAATTCCGTGCCATTTTACTTGGAACGAGATTTCAACGTTTCGCGAAATGTGTGGATACGCTGATCGTCGATACCAACGCGACGAAGCGAAGCAAATTGAAAAATTCAGTGCATACGAGATTCATTTTCAGAACGGAGAACGCTCGAAACTTTAACACAGGGAAACTGAAACAAATCTAGGAGTTTCGCTTTCCCAACGAACAATCGATACGAAGTTACGACACCTGGATATCGATATTTCGCGCCGGAAATGTTACGCTCTCGCTTCTTAAAGCACCTTGAGGTTAATATTTACGTTGAATTAAAGACATAAAATGTTCATATTTGCACTTTCACGAATGCACAAACACTCGCCAGTCCATTAATATCCATTTTCTCTAACAAAGAATCGAAGAATCTAGTCAAAATATAGGCTATTCTTCTCTTTTACCATTTCTTCAATGGGATACGAAGCCGTAGCTGGTTGCCCTCGAACTTTTCGGGGACGGGGATACGCCCCAAATAAAAGAGCCAGCCAATGGGGTGGTTAAAGGAGGGATCCTACGTGAAATTAAAATATCCTTGGGTCGTAATGATTCGGAGTACGCGAGTAACGACGCACGTGAACGCTATGTACCGGGGTCCCTCTAACTTTGTTTGCGATATTCGGCGTGGCGCAGGAAGGGTGGCGCGGTTCCAACCCCTAGCGTGGAGGGTGCGGCAACCCTTCGAATCAGCCGGATCCGCCGGACATATGCTGAAAGAGAGAGAGATACGCATTGTATTATATTATTCACGAGCTCTGTGTGTGTGTGTGTGTGTGTATGCGTGATATAACGTTACCCTGATTTTTAATACGAGTTCCGGGGCACGCTCCTCTCCGCTCTGCCTTGGTAACATTGTAATGGGATTAGTCGCGTTATTAGGGGTTTAAAATCACGGCTCTACGTTCTCTCTGATCTTTCCTCTTGTACCGTCGCGGCATTACAACGCGTTCAATTCGTTTTCCATGATATCTCGCGTGCTTAGATTTTTTTTGGTGTCATCTTATTCATGAAGAAAGCTTTTAATTTAAAGCTCGTGCGAATGATGTTTCAGTCACCGCGTTCTAATGCGTTATCCTTTCGCGACGCCATTCACAACCGATGGTTCAGAAACAGATACCGTGCGCGTATCTTACAGATATAAATCTAGACTTTTGACTACGCCGTCGGGTCGTTACCGCGTATCACTGGCAGATATACACGATTGAAAATGCGATTCAAAATTCACGCGAGCTTCTAGCTGGCTCGAACGGAAGAAGGTAACAGGTGCCAAAGGTTAAGTCTGCTCGTACGAAAACCACCAAGTGTGGAAAATGACGAAGCTGAAACGACGGTGAACGATACACGGGGATATTCGAGAGGTGCTTTCTACGTTAAATATTAATTTTCCGGCTTCTGAACATCGAGTGGGTGCCATACGCTCGATAAAGCACCCACGAGTAATCAAGAAATTAACTTCGTGGCTCTTTGTAGCAAGTACGTGCAGCTAGTCGTATTTCGTGCCACGTATACCTACACTTAAAGCGTTCGGCGTCAAAGTGCTACGTCGATACGGTTCGTTGTCCCTTTTTCGAGTTAATGAACGAACGATTAAACGCATCGAGCTGCCAGCGGAGATAATAAAAGACGAATTCATCGGCAATTCTCGAGTCGTTGGCGCAGTTGTTGGCGGTGGTGGTACGCGAATTATGTTGCCGCCGGGGGTAAATTTAATATCCGCCAGTTCGTCAAAGTGTGTAGTCGGGGAATTATTCGCCAGACCGCGCGTCTCCAGAGGATGACAACTGGAAACCTGACTCCCGTTTTCATCGATCGTGCACGCTTAAGAGATCGTTAAAACGCTCGGCCATAGAAATAGCGAAACGCGCAACTGCGAATATTCCTGCTGCATACAATATCTCTCGGCTCTGCCTTGAAACGGTTTTCGAAACTTGGCTATCCGCTAGGCTCCGTTGCATGAAATGTGTCTGCTCGTGACTCTAAATGCTGATGGGCGAGCAAAGTTATTTACGCGTTGGAATAATTTACGATGGAGCTTGGAGCTTCCATCGAAACTGAATCTCGCAGCAGTCGTTTGTTCAACGTTGAAAATAATGTTAACGGAGTTGACGTTTGTAAATTTAATTCATCGAAGAACGATGAAAATGATCTGATTTGATAAGAGTACGTTTTATTGGAGACGTAAACGCTCGTTTACGTTACGTTGAGCGATCGAGAATCTTTCCGGAATGCAAAACCGAATGGGAAAGAAGCTGCAGCTCATCGAGTAGATTTGATTTGGATCTCTGCAGGGACAAAGTTATCGTTTAAAAAAACTTGTGCATGTTTCTTGGTAAATCTGGCAAGACGCATCCTCCGCTACTGGAGGACGAATTCTAAACATATATCGCGAATAATTGATACGCTTTCAATGAAATTATTCAACGACTCGCGTTTGACCTTTTTAAAATAATCAGAAGACGCGAGTAGAATGAAAGTTCCGTTCGAAGAACGAGTGGCAAGGAAATTTGCAAGCGTTACCTGGAAAATTCTCTGCTTGAATGTCCCCTTTGATTGGCATAAAACGTCCTCGAATTCTGCCACCGCGAATACCACTAATGACACTTTCTTTAACCAAGTTGGCTACCTGTGCTAACCGCACCGTCTCTTTCCACCAGCTTATCTTGATTGCCTGCAGAGATTCTTCAACACGTTCAGCAAGAATCTGACAAGACCTTAACGACGAAAACGAGCTTAAAACTTCAACGTTTCTTACCGTGTTTCAAGAAAAATGGTTGAAATATTCTCCCCTCTTGCACCTTCTCGTTTAAAGTCCCAATTTAACGAAAGCTCAAACGAAATTTAAATAAACGAAACGAAGGATTATACAAAGCAGTTATTAAACGAACGTGGACGTTGTAAACGAATAAACAGAATACTAACGACATTCCAGTGAAATCCATACGCCGGGTCCGACCGATCGTTTCCGCCAATTTAAAATTATACTTCAAAATCATCGCGAGGAACGAATGCGGCCGAGAATAATAAGAAGACATCGCTGGGATTAGAGCCCTATGGCACAGGCCAATAATAGTGGAAAGATGGGTACGGAGGTAGTATAAAGTTTCCGGACATATTAGCCACCCGTCGAATTAGCGTTGCGAGAAAATGCCCTACTCGGTGTCGATCCCAGGGGAAGCAACCCGCTTGGTCCCCGCACGCGTTTAGGGTGAATCGAAAGGGGGCACCCTCGAAAAAGGGCGGGGCCCCGTACAAAAGGGGCCCTGAAGATAACCAACCCCTGGGTGGAGTTAGCACCCCGTATATATTGCTGGAGCGATAGTCCACAGGGAAACAGATCAAGGTACACTATCGAACTGCGAGGATCTCTCGTCTCGGAAGTCTGTCGTATCTACTTGCAACCGCGGAATCACATCCACTCCAATTTAACAAGAGATATCTTAGAATTAGCAACAGCCTTGGGATACGACGATATCAGCAAACGTTGAAACAGAAACCAGGTGAAACCCGGTGAATCGATCGAGAGACTGTGCACAACGACGCTTCAGTGGCCGCGGGATTGTTCAGTGTTATTTCGATTGTCAATCGATCGAGTGTCAATCTGATCGAGCAGGATCGTATGAGTTTGAAATTCAGAAACCGCGGATAGAAAAATAAGTCGACATGTCGCGAAGTTTCCTCGTGGACTCGTTGATCGGAAACAATTCGCCACCTGCGTATCCGTTGCCCTATTACGGTAATCAATTGCCGAGCTACATGTTCAACTTTTTCAATCTGGGCTTGGGTTATCAGCCGATAAGACCGGTACCGAGGCCACCGGCCATGCCTGTTCCGGTTTCAATCAGTCCACCTGCTTTGGGAAGCATGCGGCCAGTGCCTGGCCAGAGTCCTCCATCGCCTTTAAACACTTCCGCCAGCAGACTCTCGGGTAAATATTTCCCTCGTTGAAACGAGGATTCCACGAAGAGCAGAATTTCCTTCTCGTCGAAGCAGAATATTATCGCAAAAATATTCCACGAAACGTTCGATGCTAATGTGATCATATTCTTTAAGATGTTTCAGCACCGAGCGAGGCATCACCTTCGCGTAATAGCACGCCAACACCTCCGCCCAAGTCTCCGAACTCCATCAACAGCTCCAAGAGGATTCGAACAGCCTTCACGAGTACCCAATTACTGGAGCTCGAGCGTGAGTTCGCTTCGAACATGTATCTGTCGCGGTTGAGGCGAATCGAGATCGCGACGAATCTCCGATTATCCGAGAAACAGGTGAAAATCTGGTTTCAAAATCGGAGGGTGAAGTACAAGAAGGAGGACCTGCCTTCCGGGCAGAGTCAGAAATGTTGTTGCCTGCGGACGTGCGGCAAAAAGAGGGAAGGGCCATGCAGCGACGAGGCCTCGGGTCGAAAATGCGAGCAGGACGACGAGAAATCGATGAAAAACGAGAAGACCGACTTGACGATTGACAAGCCCGTCGATACGCTCGGCCACGAGGAGTCGTCGAATTCCATGGCCGATCGTTTCGAGCACTCGGCCCCGTCGTCCTTCGTCGTCGTGACAGACAGTTCGCAACGGTTCCTACAGGAAACGGAGGAGAAATTAAACCCTCTTCCGAGGGTGAGCGCGATGGCCGATCGTCCCGGTTACGAGAGGGACGTTCACCATTTGTCCAGCAGCTTGAAGAGGAACATGGTAGACGCGGCCGAGGAAACGGGCGATAAAAAGAGACGAATCGATAGCTCGTCCGTTTATCAGACTACGATTCAGGAGACTGCTATCGGGCCTGTGTTTAGAAGCATAGGGTGCACCAAGCATACAGTGGAAAGGATCGTCAATTCGTAGAATGGAATTACGCTCGCTGAAGCATCTTCCAAGATTATGTTCCGCGACGTTTTCCATTACGATGTCGTTGTAAATACAGTTCTACGCGAACCTTGTAAATACTGTGTAGATATATATTCTTTGTACGAGCAGCAGAGCGATAAAAAGTGGAAGATGAGAGGATGCTGTATATTTTGAATATAACTTTTAAGCAGAATAAAATGGATATCACTGAAATTTATCGCTACGTTGAATATACATACCTTCGTTCCAAAATATTTCTCGCCGTTATTTTATCATATATATATATAATATATATATA